TACATAAAACCAGCACCATGTAGATGATACCAAGGTCTGCTGTCAGCTGGAACAGTAGCCAGGCTTGCCTCTCTCTTGCCTATAGGGTTGAGTGCCTTGATCTCTGAGCAGGGCTTTTCCACACGTAACTGGCTTTCATGGATCCATATTCAGAACAGAAAAACAAATGTGTTTTGTCTACCAAAAAGAAACTCCACCGGTATGGTTGACTATGAGTACTTCATAAACCAAGAAGTATCTTTAGATGGAGGGCCATACCAAGTACCTAAGAGTGAAAGAAACTCCATGCAAATAGATCATTAAATTCAGAAAGACAATTGGTAGGAAAATTGCTTATGAGAAGAACATGCCTGAAGGTAATGTAACCTGACCTCTTCCATAGTACTTTACAATGACCCACTGTTCTATGTGGAGACATACCTGATATTATACAAGGAATGTCGTACGTGAAATCAAAATTATGCCAGACTGTAGGTGATTTGTAGAAGAATTACATGGTGCTTATCTCTTGCACATGCCACATAAGGTATTTATTATGATTTAGAAAATAATCTTTCAATTTGAGGAATTTACAGGAAGAACCACTTGCATTAAAATCCATCCATATTTTTAGAAGATGAACTAATGTGAAAGAAATGCATACATTATTATTTTTGTCAAGATGGCAACTCTGAGTTCCATAATGAGTAAAAATATGGGTATGATTATATTATAACGTTAAAGGATGAGAGACGGAAGAGTCCATAATGGTTATCCACATGATCAGAAGTGGGAGATCCCATAGCTGCTCAGTCAAGAAGATGGAAACCCAGAAAAATAGGGCTCAATGATGTAGTACCAGCTCAAATGAGAGGTTGGAAACTCCACGGAGAGTTTCTTGGAGGAGGCTGAAGAAAATGGACACCAACAGCTGGATGATCAAAGTCCACAAAGCATACCCAGTCAAGACCTACTCAGTTCATTTTCCACTCTAAAGCATTCAGTTAGTGCTCCTTGTCTGTTTTTTCAAAAATATTTATTTGAAAACATGCATTTATTTGAAAGTTAAAACTCTCCATATCCTCACTTCAAAATTAATATACTTAGTGAAGCTCCTACTCCATTCCTTCCCTGTGCTCCTCTACCCAGGGGATGGGATGACTCTTGTATGTGTCCTTCCTAACACACATGTAGCTTTGCACTTGCAGTTTTAATTATTTTGTTGTTGTTTCTGTTCTTGTTGTTTTTATTTTCAGTCTTACTATGTAGTCCAGGCTGGGTATGAACTCAATATGTAGCCAAGGGTGGCCTCACATTCATGGCCATCTTCCTGCCTCAGCCCTCCTGAGTGCTGAGATTACAGGGATGGGCCACTTTGCTCTGTTTGAAAGTAGAGAAACTGTTGCTTTGCCACAAATAATCATTATCTAATTACAGTTATAAAATGAACTGTAATTTCCCTGCAATTAAAAATACTGTATTATATTTTGAATATCCATACTGTTAGGCATATTTTACTTTTTGGTTATTATTGTTTCTTTCTTCTTTTTTGTACTAGGAATCAAACTCATGACCTCACATTTACCAGGCAAGTTCTGTGCCACTGAGCTATGTCTCCAGCCTAGTTACTTTATTATGCTTATATTATTCACCTCCTATCAGTAGCTTTACAATAAGTATTAAAGTCTATTGGCTAAATAGATATTCATTATTAAAAATAATTATTTCTATTCTGTTATGGTTATGCATCCTTACGGAATTTTAAATTCACTTACCAGGCCACTACTAACACTCACACCCCAGAACAATAATATAAAATCTGATCATGATTCTTATTGAAATTGTAGTCAGAGTATTCATAAATTCAGAGGATATTGGCCACTTTATGATAGTAACTTTTCTTCGGGTCCTCTGAACAGGTTACTTTTGGTAATGACCTTCTCTCTGCTCTGAAATGTGTTACATATGAACACAGAACTATTTCAAGCCTCTGTCTTCCAATATATCAAGGCCTGGGAATTTTTCCACACTGTAGTTTAAATAAAGAATCTGCAATTTTATAGGAGCTAGAACTCAACAATTTTGCTCTGTTGTTCAGGAAAAATAACTAAGTCATCCTAGAGCTTCTTTGATTCCTTGGGATTGTTCCTCTAATTAATCATGATGCAAGTGGTAAAGTGTGGCTTCATGGAGAATAGAGACTATGAGTTCACATTTCCGGAAGATGTGGGTGCGTTCACATTTCAGTTGCTAAAGGAAAGAACTTTCTTTTCTTTTCTTTCTTTTCAGAAATATATTCCCAAATTGCTGGGGAAAGGTTTGGTGTGGGTGAGAACAGGCGGCTCCCTCCTCTGATGCAGAACTCAGCAGTTTCAACACAAAGAAGCAGATGGAAATTTTTTTAAGTCTTCATTCTCAGAACTCTTTTCCTGGTAGCTTAGAAAAGCAGTTGGTGGACCAGTAGCCTTCTCTCCTCTTTTTCTGCTCTTTTTCTTGCTATTTGCTTTCGGTACTTTCTAACAACTACTTCCTAATTGGGAAACAGCATATGAGACCCTTTATGAGGAATCCCTCACGCTTGTCATACGCCGTACAGCATGTGTTCAAGAATGTCCCAAGAAACCCAGTGAGGGGAAGGGTGAAGACTGTGTTATTAAACTGCCAGCCTTGTCATAAAGCCCTGGATATACTGAAATGTTTGGAGATTTTGTGTGCAGCGTGACTGGCCAGGCAGAACCATGATATTTGTAGGAGGAACTAAGCTCAGAGAAATGCCTTCTGGTAAATAATGTGCTATGGCTGTGGTTACTCCAGTAATGAATAATGAAAAGCTGCTTTTTAAGACAACAATTTATAATCAGCCTTATCTGGCTTTGCTGTGTTCTTGGTTTGAGAACAGGAACTGCAATAACGACAGATATGAAACAAAAACTTTTTGAAAGTATTTTCTTTTTTTCCCCTGTAAGAAAGCATTTTAAAATTCTACAATCAGAAGCATCTCTACACAAATGACACAGTCAAGTTAGAAATTGAAGTATTTTGGGGACTATTTCTATAGAGACCTGGCTTCGGGATAATTTTTGCAGGTCTTCTAAGAGAGAATCCTCAAAGTGGTATTTGTTAATTCTTCTTGTCTATATTTTGAGATATGACATATTGCTCCTTCCTCCTAATAATTTGCAAAATCTGTAGTCTTCATTTTAATTTCATCTCTAGTAATTAGAGAAGCAAACACTTCTTATGTTAAATTGCCATAAAACATTGAGAATCCCTACTTTGTATTTCTCTAACTCTTTCAGGGTTAGTCTAAGATTAAAATTTGTCATTGTAACAGTCCTAACAATGACTGGGGAAGGTAAAGCTTACAGAAATGTGCAAGTTCCACAAACCATTTCAGTGCAAGGGCTGTGAACAGAACCTAAATAGTTTTCTAACCTTACTTGCTCATTTATTCCCTCAGCAAATGTTCACTGAAGTCAGTTCCTTCTGGTTATAAAACAAGAGACAAGACCCAGGCCCACCACCCCAAAGCTCGCAGTCCATTGAATACTATTCTGCATTCTGCTTGGATCAGACCTATTGATTCTTTGGCCTGTTTTTGCTAGAAATGCATGAGGTCTTGGATTCATGAGCTCTTCAAGTTGAGTTTAGTCACTGCTTATTAAATCTATACACAGCCTGAGCATTTTAAACATCAAAACTCAACATCCCTCAAAAACATAACACTCAGATCTAGTATAATTGTGTTTCAGTTTTGACCTTTATTTAATGGCAGAGTGGATAATTTTTAGGTTTTTTTGTTAAAGAGGAAAAGTATCAGCATAAACTTAAATGAGGACAAAATGAGACCTTATCAAGGATTTAGAGACAATCGATAATTGAATGGCAGGATCATCAATGTTTTTGTTCTTAGACAAGGCTCCTCCGCACACTCTTAGGTGAATATTCTTTCCTTTATGCAGGATGTAGTAAGGAGGGACAGCAGCAGCAAAGCAGGTGCCCCATACCTCAGGGCACAGGATGGCTCAAGTTCCTGGAATCTCTCCTGGCTTGGTCCCTTCTCACAGCGAGATCTCTGGAGAGGCCAGGTGACTTGCGCCTAATTACTACTTTAAAAAAGGACTTTCAGTTCATGAATCCTTCAGGTAGAGAGTAAAGTGCAGAGTGGACATTGCCTTCAGCATCCATTTGAGAAATGAAGGAAATGGTTAGTAAGCAAACCCATTGCACACCGCCATGGCCTCAGTGCTGGGGGCTTTACAACATCACTGTCACGCACAGATGGGAACCTCAGCACTTATGATCAGGCAGATAACACTAGAAGACTTTGCAAACCAGGCCTCCTGCAATTTCTGCAGTTATTTGGTCTGGAAGAGCCAGGGCAGGAGTGCAAGCTGGGTTTTGGCATTAGCTGGCCCAAAGCACTTGGAGGCTAAACTTTTGGCAGAAAGCTTGGCATTGACATGCATTAGTCTGCTAATTGGAAAAGAATCATTTGGTTTAGAAAACACAAGTGAAGCTTTTCTACACCATGACTGCATATATTACACATTAGCCTAGCTCCCTTTGATTGTCTTAGAAGGTCAGAAAAACTACAGACGAGAACCTATTAAAGCTTGAATGTGTAAAAATCATGTTTTCTGTGATGATGCAGGTACAGAACTGTGAAAAATGTCTCCCATCTTAATTGCCCCGGATGTAAACTAACTGAAGCTCCCAAATCCTGACTGTAATGGTAAGATTTGGTCCTATGAGATTTAAATACTTGGAGCAGACAGAGCAAACAGATTGCTAATAATAACAAAAGTAAAGATAATTTTAAAACCCTCTTGTGTTTCTCAAATACGTTTAATCAAATTGCTTTTTACGACTTGTTTAATTTTGGTTTCGTTTTAGTGTGGGTAGTGATGTTAAATTGATTTATAGTAACATCGTTATTTTAAGATAAAGCACAAAACGTTCAAATTTTTTTAACACATTCAGCCACTGAACTTGTTATGAAAAAAGTGAACCAGGTCAGAACCCTGGTCTCTGTAGAATTCCAGGACATTATCTTGGCATTAGAACTGAAAGAATTAATCTAATCTAATCTAAGGTTTTTGCTATGAGTGGAATCACTGTGGTATAATAAGAAAGTCTTCGGTGGAGGAACGAAATTGGTTGTCACAGGTGGGTATTGTTAGAACACATTTCCTAAGGTACTTGAGGAAAAAGAAAAAATAATCTTGTTGGAATAATAGTGACCATTTCAGGAGCAAGAGGAATATGAGGGGGATTTGATGCACAAATCTTAGGAGAGATTTTAATACAGATGCTCATGCTGAAGGAGAGCAGGTCAGCATTGTGCAGATCCTGTGACAGAATTTGGCTGTGAGCATTTGGAACGCCTATAAAGTGCTCCAGTACATAATGATATCGCTAAAGTGTTAGACCCTGGGACAAAGCTTATCCTAACAGATAAACCTGTAATAGACTCAGCAGAGCAGACTCATTCTCTTTTCTCAGGGCGAAGTATTGTGGAAGAGTCTGAGCTTTGCAGGTCGGTAGATCTGCAGCTCTGGCTCCACCACTTACAGCTTAAGGAACTCAGATGATTATTTCCTAGCCCATAAAATAGCATGACAGTGTGAATCTGGCAAGAATATTTGAGAATCGAATATGATAATGTGAATAAAGCCCTTGGCTCATTGTCCAATGCATCTTAGGTACCGAATAATTGTCCTTCCAAGTCACATGTAAAAGGAGCACTGTCTACATTGTCTTTTCAGACAACTCTATTTACTGCAGAATAGAATCCTCCTTAGGATTAAACTGTACCTGTAACTGTTCAAACGACAGGTTATCTTAACATCCACTCACATAAAAAGTTGGATCTGAAGGTATTTATCACCTTTCAGGAAACTTTTCTTTAGAGTTAACTAAAAAGTGTTTTCAGAAAAGTTTGGTCCGCATCATGTAAATTTTTATTTTTATTCTGATTGTGAATGCCTCTAATATCAATACTGATAGTTCTAAACTTTATAGCTGCTTGAATTAGGCTTCTGCTCATACTTATAGACAAGACTATCAAATTCATATAGGAATTGGTCAGCTTAAAAACTAAATACAGTTGAAAACTTGTCATAAATTTGAAATATGCACATATATGAAATAGGTGTAATTATTTGAAGAAAGAAAAGTGAAAAACAGAACACTTAAATAAATTATCATATGTGAATATGAAAATACTTTCAACAGACAACATTATATTTAGCAAATTTGTATACAGTTTGAATTGTTGCATTTTAAAGTGCAAACTCAGAGAAATTTGACACAAAATGAATGATAAGACAAATGACATACATTAATGGATTGGAAAGTTTCATTTTTTAGATAAAATATATGGCAACCATTCCATCCATTACTCAAGTAAATTTATTATCATTAAAAATTGATTTGAGGGGCTGGAGATTTAGCTCAGAGGCATAAGCACCTGCCTTGCAAGCAGGCAGTCGTGAGTTCGATCCCTGGTACCGATAAAAACGAAAAAGACAAAAAAAATTGATTTGAAAAGTACTCAGTGTAGATATATAACAGTCACATTTACAAAGACAATCAGCAACAGCACAATATAGATAGCAACCATGTATAATCAGGTACAATAAAGCTTACTTAACTATTTCACTGAAAAATTTATAGAAAGTCAAGTATCATTTAATTGTCAAAGGATGAACATTAAGGAATTTTTAATGGAAGAAAGATGCCACTGTGTAGAATTTTTTTTCGATTTGACATTTGATTTCAACTTACTTTTTATAATAAGTCTGAAGCATTTTGATGGAAAAAAACATGCTATAGTAAAATGGACATTAGATGTACTACATTGGTTTACACTAGAATTATATGAAATATATTTAAAAATTAATTATCTTTTATAACATGCTTAAAAATACATATCAAGTGACAGATTGAAGAAATATAAGGTATCTTACTTTTTGTGCTAAAAATAAAGCTTTAAACAGGCAAATTACCTAATGATATTTATACCATGGTCAGAAATACTAACACTATAATCTTATTGATTTTATATAAAAATTCGGAGTATTGCTGCTAAACATACAAATGAGCAAGAATTTTTGTTCTTTTCTTCTCAAAGTAGAAACTCACTGCTCTGCTTCCTAAATTATTGCTCATTGAATTGTTATACAGACTTCAAATTATCCTCCCCAAATTGGCATAAAATTTGAGTTTCAATTTGAAATCTAATCAGAAGAGTCCCGACATTGTAATAAGTCACTAGATTGAAAATGAAAGTATAACTAGCATTCAAAATGACCTGATGTATCTTAATATTCATGTGATCCTTTGTTATGTATTTTGTTATTGTGCCTGCAAGAAACTTGGGACATACAACATTACACTAATTATGCATACACTTTAGTAGGTTAAGACAGAAGAATAAAGCTGCTTCAAAACAGATGAACGGCACAGAGCACGGATACATATTTTTGGAAAAATACTGAGAATCAAAATTTGGATTTTCAAATATTTATATATCCTTTCTGACTCAAATTATACCTTACTAAATAAAGTATAATAATCGTGTGCATGTTGTATCCTTACGGATGATTGAAATTTAAACACAATTACAACGTAAAATGGGCTTTTGATTTTCTAAACAAAATTAAATTTGGATAAATGCATTACAGGGTAAGACTAACATAAGAGCATTTCTAAAAATAGAGGCAATTTAAAAGAATTTGTGAATATTATGATTTTGGTTCTAAATTCAAAATACTGTAATTATGTGAAAAGTGTAGCTTTAATGCTGCTCAACTCAATAATCCAGAGTGTTTTAGATGTGAAAGTGAGGTGCCCCATAAAGTCAGAAGTAACTAACCAAGTTCGGGAACCTCAGAAGTGAGCATGTAGCCCCATATTTGAAGCTAAGTAATCCACTTGAGGCATTGTGACCATACATGGAGTAGATTCCCACAGAAACAGGTGCCTGTGTGCAGTTACAAATAAAATCAACAACCTTCCTCCTGACCTTTATCCCCATGATAAATAAGACAAATAGGATGAGCCCTGGAACTAACTAAAGGAAAAGTGGGATGCCAGAGCAGGAGAATGTGAGTTACTTGGTCAGAGAATTTAAGTGGCGAAGGATGGGAAAGGCAAGCTCTTTAGAAGAAACCTCAGAGCCTCGTCTGCAAAGAGCTCATCCAAGTGGCTGGTCCTCTCCCTTCCTTTGGCCGCCATTGTGAAAACATTCTCCACTGTGAGAGAATGAAGAAGATATAAGCATAAGAAAATAAACCAACTCATTAATGTTGGAGCCTTGGTACGAGGCAGTTGAAGTCACATTCCATTGTAATGTGAGGAGAAAGGACAAAGCAGTTTCTATCCAGAATTTGCTACTTGAAAGCTGTGACTTTTAAAAGTCTGGGTGACCTTGTCAACTTCTTTACACATCTGTACAGGGGGTACAGTAATCAGTACCCGGCAAACCCAGAGGGCAGAAAGGCCAGGATGCTCCTAATTCAGTGGTGATTTGTCTTCTTTTTGCTGTACATTCAGTCTTTCCAAAGCACACAGTGCTTATGTTTCTCTAATAATTCTCTTTGTGATGCTCTGTTTTTCTACAGATAAAGACTTCAGAGGAGACATTTCCCCCAAGCCCACTATTTTTCTTCCTTCAGTGACTGAAATAAAGTCTCATCAGGCTGGAACATATCTCTGTCTTTTGGAGAATTTTTTTCCTGATATTATTAAGATATCTTGGAAAGAAAAGGATGGGAAGAGGGTTCTGAAATCTTCTCAGGGAGATACCATGAAGACCAGTGACACCTATATGAAGTTTAGTTGGTTAACTGTGACTGGAAATTCAATGGATAAAGAGCACCAATGTATTGTGACTCACCAGAATAATAAAGGAGGAGTTGACCAAGAGATTCTGTTTCCTCCTGTAGGAAAAGGTATGTACATATAAATGTGAATATCACCTTCAGAAAACTTATTTGAATAGAACTTGTCACTTTTTCTATTTAGTATTAATGATAAATGTCTTTCTTACATATCATCACATTTAAAGATACTTTTCTGGTATTTTCCCGCAGTTAATATGGTAAAAGTTTTGAGAAAACAAATGAAAATTTTTAATTAAACTTTCTCAACATCAGTTTCACTATTTAAAATATTATGGTGTTTATAGAATTGTTATTTGAATCAAATAAAATGACTTATTTTGGATGCATCTAGTAACTAACTACAGGACAAATGTTGGTAAGAAGCTTCCACTTTAGATAATTTTATTTAGGAAGAAAGACAATTATGCATTTTTAAGGATATTCTGTCTAGTAACAAAGCCACATGTTTCAACTTACTATGCCCAATGATGAGTTATTAATTGACAAAATGGCACTCAGACCCAAAAATCTCTGAATCTGGTCTTATAAAAAATAGAGTAATATTAGCCATTGCACTTTGGTGGTGGTGTTGATATTTCCCTGTTTTTATTTTAGCATCAGACAAACTGTTATAATTAAAGATTCGGTGAGGCTAATGTGTCTGAGTTCCTTCTCTAGGATGGGTGGACTTTTTGCCGCTGGTAAAGGCAGCTACACTAACACTGTGCTGTTGGCCTCTGTCCCGCCTGAGTGGGAATCAGTACAAGGAGGACAGGGCGAGATAGTGTCCCAGTGTGGATGCACTGCAGTAAGACAGAATGGTCTTTTCCTCGTCACTGAGGGTCATGCACAGTTTAGGTCAGTGTCTACAAGAAGAGCATTTTATGTGGTGAGGTACGTGTCTACAGAGCCAGACAGAGGACAGAATGTGCAGAGAGCCCAGCAGAGTCCAGTAACTTACTATGCTTCCCAGTCCTGAGTGTGGACACAGAACTAAGTAATAAAGGAAAGACTAATACCCAAGTCATGAGGTTAACAAAACTGCTCCATTTAAGTGTAGAATTAGATCCCGATGTTTTCAACAAAACAGAAACATCCATTCCACGATAATGACCATCGTGTAGGAGAGAAGTTCCAGTTTTACGATGGCTCTCTTGACATTAAATCTAAAATAAGTGCTTTCCTATGATTTTCATGGCAAGTTGAGTAGGGCATTTCGATTAATGTCACTAAACAGAAAATTTCTACTGCTGCTGCCTGAAGGATTTTTTTAATAAAAGGTAAAAAAAAAAAAAAAAACCTGGAATCAGAAATCAATGAAGTGATTTTTGAAGATAGATTAACCTGTTCTAAGTTTTCAACCAACCTTGATTGAGCAAACTCAGGATACACAAAAATTCATAATTAAAATCAGAACTTAGCCTACACACATTTTATTATTCATATCTATAATTTATTCTTTTTCCTTTATTCATGACAATAATAATTTTTAGCAAAAAACATACCTATACAAAGAAATAGATTTTTTTAGATCTATAAAGTCAATTCTTTTTTTTTTTTTTTTTTTTTTTGTCTTTTTCGTTTTTATCGGTACCAGAGATCAAACTCACGACTGCCTGCTTGCAAGGCAGGCGCTTATGCCGCCGAGTTAAATCCCCAGCCCCTAAAGGCAATTCTTAAGGAAGTTTTTAGTCAAGGCTGGGGATTTAGCTCAGCGGCATAAGCGAAAGCAGGCAGTCGTGAGTTTGATCCCTGGTACCGGTAAAAAACGAAAAAGCCAAAAAAATAAAAAATAAAAAAAAAAGAAGTTTTTAGTCAAAACATAATCATACTAGCATTTTAATTTATGGGTCTTATTAAAAAAAACTAATCATCAAATCCATTTTTAATAATTCAGTGTTCAATGCATAGCAGAAGCATTCGCATATGAATAAGAACACATCTAGCAGAAAAAGAATAAACCAAAACAACAGTTATGCTTCCACTTTTTACCCATTAATTTAAAAATATTAATTTTCATAATACTTTTACTCTTTAAAAATATCAGATATATATCTCTCACGTCAAGTTTTACTAAGATATTTATGAAAGATATCTAGCATTCTTTTCTCTACAGAAATCATTGAGCTAAAATTTTAAGTGCCTATAATTTTAAAAGGCCTAGTTAAGATGCTAGAATAGAATATTTTTAGTGTCCACAATGATGGATAATCTTGCCTCCCCATGAATTATTATCTATGCATTTCTATGAGTTACTTTTACAGAGTGCTTTATGTATCCTAGCTCCTTTTATCCTCATACTCTCCCTTGAATACCGGCTCCATCATTCTCTGGTCTTAAGTTACCTGAACTTTTAACTTTTATTTCCTTATTCATCGCATGGAAGCTTCCAGAATGCAGCTCTTTAAGTGTTATAGTACATTTAGACACTACAATGCAGAAAAACCTTTAACAAGTGCTGAGGTCAACAATGGCCACTTGAATAGGTAGTAGTGTTGTTGATGATGTATTCCTCATGTACAATATCTGGACCTTCAAAAATGCAGTGTAGGACCAGGGAACACTGAGAATGTGCATGATTTGGAAAGGCATGGCTGCTTTTCTACTTGTGGATGGGAAATTTCTCTAAGTCAGTCTCCACAAGCTGGTTTTGAGGTTGGATGGGCTATATTTGTGGGGGGGGGTAAAAGAGGTTACTTTATGTCTTTTCTTTATTTTTATTATTATTATTATTATTGTTATTGTTTTATTTCTCTTTTTACTTTTCCCCTCCTTCCTAGCTCCTTCATCCTTAGATTCCATCTCTTGACATTAACGGTGCATGCTGAAGGCTGTAAATCAGCCAATTCTCTTAACTTTTCCATTGACTAAGTATTTGCATATCACCTATTTTTGCAGCAGACACTTTACTAGGAGATATCCATACAGAGGGAAAGCAGGTAGCCATGGCTATAATATTCCAGTTGTCAAAAAAACGACAAAAGTAGCATTCACAAAGCTCAAAACGTTAGATATTGTAGTTCAGCTGTGAAGAATAAAATGTTACCTTACATTTTTCTGTGCAGAAACATAATAGATGAATGATGTCTACTGAAATTTGTAGATTAATACCACTTAATTCTGGAATTACGGAATTCATCTTTTAATGACTATGTATTCTATATCTCTGCTGACAGATTATATATATATATATATATATATATATATATATATATATATATATATTATGTGTGTGTACATATGTGACCGTGTGGGTAAATACACACATACCCACTATCAAAAGTAGTCATAACTGACTATTACTTGTTCTTACTCCTTTTAGTTGGCACCCATAGTAATCCTACAGAAGCAAGTCTTAAAGAAGATGGTAAGTTTCGGTGTATGTCTGCTTCAATCTTGTGGGCTACCACACTTTTTCTCTTAACTTGTGAACTTCCCTGGCTGCAGGTAGAAAAATCAGAAGGACAGGATATTCCCAAATACACTGTGTGATACTGCAGTCTGTCTTTGCCTTGGTGTCCCATTGCCAAAGTAAAATACTCAGTTGGGCATGAGGTTAATGCAAATTAAAGAATACAGTGATGCATTCGGAGCTGTTTCCACCAAACCACTTCTTTCATTCCTGTGTCCGTTGTTTCCACTGCTTGGGGGAGAAGCATGATATCAACTTCTTTATAATGTTGCTTTTCAAACAAAATAAGTGGGGGCTGGGGATTTAGCTCAGCGGCATAAGCGCCTGCCTTGCAAGCAGGCAGTCGTGAGTTCGATCCCAGGTACCGATAAAAAGGAAAAAGACAAAAAAAGAAAGTGTATTTTTGTCTGAGGTTTTATTTAGAAATCTAGAAATATGACTTGACCTAACTTTCTGTTCTTAGAAAGAATTCCACTGAAATGTTCAGCTCTTGTAATAAAAACAGTCCCTAGACTAAGAGTAATTAAGAGGCTAGAAACAATTTTTTCTTAGTGTCTACAACGGTGAAATTAGTATGTCAACTCTTTATTATTTTCTGTATTTTTCTAAGGATTATTTTCACAAAGCATTTCATAGCTGTCCCGTCTCCTTTAACTCATCATACTGTCAGCTCTGACATTCACTGGGGCTCAGTTATCTAGAATGTTTAACGTTATTTTCTCATTTATAATATGGACCACACACAACATGACTCAGATGTTCCCGAAGGAATTAAACAAACTGGTGCCCATGATGACCACTGAGTAGGTCTGCACTTCTGTTAATACTGGGGTTGTCAAGGCAGGGGATTTAGCTCAGCGGCACAAGTGCCTGCCTGCCCTGAGTGAGGTTCTGAGTTCAATCACAGGAACCAAAAATAAAAAATAAAAAAATTAAGGTTGTCATGTCCACAAACTTTTGACTTCCAAAGCCTCACATGCTGGCTAAGGGTATAGCTCATTGGCACAGTACCTGCCTGGTGACCGTGAGGTCATGAGTTCTATCCCCAACACCCCCAAATTCACATATATACACTGGAATTGTTGAGGATGTAATGATATGGCTGCTTTTCTCTACTTAGAAGTAAAACATTCCTCGATAAGACTCCTACTTTGCATGTCTCTGTAGTTGGCTTTAAGACTGGGTGGATTCATTCTGGATCCCTTTTTTCATGTCAACAATGGACATCAAAGCCTGTAACGCAGGCAGTTTATTGTTTATTTTCTCATGAATATGTTTATAACACCAGTATTATAGTAGGCACTGAACTAAGGACTAAGAATCCACAGGAAAGGCAGATAGTCTTTGACACCACACTCCACTTGTAATTAATAAAATGTATCCTGCGTGAGCTTTACATTTTAATGGAGAGAAACATAATGTATGAATGACATCTATTTTATCACATAGAGTGAGGCCAGTCCTTTGGAACTGTGGGTACATGTTTTAACGTCTGTCTTTCAAGTGAACAGGATATATATGGAAACTACTATTTAATTTTAGTTCTTTTAGTTGTCACTAGTACTCTCAGAGAAGTCGCTTTGAAAGTTGGATGTGTTAATTTGCCTTTATTTTCTTTATCTCATACTATACTCCCTTTTCATCTTAACTTTTAGAATTCCTTGGTTCTATGTGATAAAACCAGAATATTAGATTTTCCCAGAATTTACTGAGTGTTGTTGTGCGTTAATCCATCATTATCTCAGTATCATATTAAAACAGTAAACTGCTGATCTTGGTTTTCAGTGACTGTAAGTTAGGGGAGACCAGAATGCACTCCTGATAATTTCAGCCAAGAGACTTCTTCTCACTCATTGGCTTATTATTCTTAACAACTGACAAAAAAGAATACCAAGTTACCTTAGCTTTGTTTTTAATCATTAAGACAAATTGTACTTCAAGATTTATTCAGAAAACCTGAGCTATAACTTGTCCTGTCTTGCTGTTCTCAGAAAATGTGGCACTGAAATGCTCAGTGCTTATCTGAAAAAAATGGTCCTTGACAAGAATAACAAACACAATAGGAGATTGTCAGTGTCCCTATGGTTGAGTTATGCTCTCTGCTAATTATTTTTTCTGTATCATTCACATTATATTTACAAAGTATTTTCCACTTGTCTTTTCCCTTTTTACACCTCCTCCACTTTCCACTGTTATTTTTCAAATACTTTCTCTGCTATTCTCTGGTAAGAGTTACCTGTACGCCTTAAACTTTATTTCTTGTGCATAGTGGGCTTACTTAATGTTACTAGTGAATTAAACAAAATAATGCAGGGGAAGCATTTAACAAAGAACCTGGCCAAAAAATGATCGTGGAATAGGTGTTAGCTTTTATGACTATTGTAGTCTCTATGTCCACAAACACCTTCTCTTAAAAAATAGGAATATCAGTCAGAGGCATTGGAAATACACATAATATGGAAAGTTAGGACTGCTTTCTTCTGTTCTGAATTAGACTCATTTAAAAGTGCCCAATTCTTTTGTCCCCTCTTGGGTCAGAGAGATTCGTCTTGGTGGCAGCATCTCGTTTTACTGAAATGTGGAAACGCTGAAATCAATCAGTTTCTCTTTTATTTTTCAACTGATTGTGGATTGAGGGTCTCCTGCTTTGTGGGACACACTTTGGAAGGAGGTGTGAATACAGAGGAAAGAATGACATTCTTGGATATTATAGTCTAATTTTAATAACAAAAGAAAGTATGTGTCCTTCAAGAACTCCAATGCGTTCTTATCAGAAACATAAATGCCAAATGTGAATTACACAGAGTGAGAACAACTCTATTTGGAACTGTGGACCCCTGTTTTTAATGAGTGGCTCAGGCTAGAGTGTTGGCCAGTCGTAGAGCAATTTCGCACTCTCTCCAAGGTCTTGAGTTTGATTCCCAGCAGGGGAAGCAGGAAGCTCCCCTGATTCTGTGTTAGAAGGCTACGTATATTTAAAAATATGCTTATACACATATAAATATCATCCATATGAGGAACTGACTGTTGCTCTTATTTGCTTTAGTTGTCACTACTACTACAGCTCCTGAAGCTTTTCTAAAAGGCGAAGACGGTAAGTTTTTGCATATTTCTGCTTTGGTCTCATGGGATAGCATTTTTATGTTCCCTCCTGTCCATCATAACTGTGACACTTCCCTGGCTCCATATAGGGAAGCCAGACCCCTGCCCATTTCAAAATAGACAGGGCAGCATTTCCTAGGGGACATCCTGATTACATATAACTCATTCGAGTTTTATTCACAGAAATAGATACATGGCTTGTCTAAGCTGTTTTTAGAAAGAATTGTACTGACATGCTCAGTCTCCACAGTGAAAATAAAAGTCCACTTTCTAAGGATAAGTAACACACTAGGAGATTTCCCCCCTTTGGTCTTTATAGTCAGTTCTTCATTCAAATAGGGGGCACAAGAATAATACATGTGTTGCTGGGGGAGTAAGGTTGCCGTGCAGCACAAAACACAGTGCTGGATCAGCAGAAGTAACTGACTGGACTGTTGCTGTTGTCATTTCCTCTAGTTGTCAATACTACTAATCACGAAGCTTTGCTGAAAGGCGAAAAAGGTAAGTTTTCATGTCTTGGTCTCCTGCTGTAGCACTTTTTACATGTGGTAATCTCAATTCTGAGTGTCCTTCTCTTATAGTAGAAAAATCAGAATGGCTGAATACTGGCAAAGAGATTGAATGAATTTTGAATTAATTCATTTTGTTAAGTGTCATATTATCACCAGGAAATCCTGATTTCCATAAGACATGACTGTAAGTTAGAAGATACAGTGACATGCCTTGAGCTACTTCAGCAAAGGGACTGCATTCATCTGTACCTCTATGTGGCATCGTGCTGTCCAATTAGTTCTACATTTGTTTATTTATTTTTTTTGCAATTCTGAGGGTGGGTAATAAAATGAAATGGTGTTTTACTCAAGAGGCTTGAGTTGTATCCTGCATGTATTTTGAAGCTCAGTCTTCATAGCTCCTATCAAATGGTATGAAAGCTTATCCACATAATACAGATGAAAGCAATGAGCTAAAATTGAAACTTTAGTGCATGCCGCCAGAGCTGAGGACATTAAGTGAACAGCTCGTAGCTTACTTAGGTCTCTCTTCTTCCTCAAACACAGAGATACAGGGCAAGGAATTCCCATGCTAACGTCCTGAGACAGGATTGGCAGGTTGGAAAGTGCATGGCTTCTGACCACAAACTGGATGCAGCCTGGGTCTCTTAATGGTCAGCTGAGGAGACCTGAGGAATGACATCACTTGTGAGCAATTATTTGAGAATAGTTAAGCTAAACTCACAGTTTTGAATACAGAAGGCCTAGGTGAGAAATGTCTATCATAGAAATCCATGTAACAGGCTTACGATCAATACTTGTTTCTGGCCTTCCTTCTCTACATATCCATCAAGAATGTAACTTATAATATTGCATCCACCCTCTCAAACTTCCTTCTGATTCTAGAGCCCACAGAGCTTTGGACTTGAGCTGTCACATCAGGCAGGAGGTCAGTAACACTCAGTGATCACAAGGAGTCCCCTTCTTGCACCAAGGGCTAGGGCTTCATGAGATCTGACTCCCGAAGAGGGAGATCATATAAAATGGAAACTTCCAGAGTGAGACTTGGCCTTGTAACTCATTATTCAGCCACTATGGCCCAGTGTCGTTGTCTTTAATCATGGCTTGACATCATATATTACTTGCAAAAATTCAAAGAATCTGGACTTCAATCACCCAACAACATCATACCACCAACAAGAGGCATCATACCACCAACAAGAGGCATCATACCACCAATAAGAGGCGTTGTGCCACAGTCTCCGTACAGCTCAGATCATTTGAATTAACCACTTTCTCACAATTTCTACAGAGGTTTGTTTTCTAAAATCTCTCACCCATCTTACTAGGAACAGCACAAAATTTCCTTGAATTGTTCTGTTCCTCCAGATTTCATGGCATGTGCAAAATGTAAGGGCTCTGATTCTTCTAAACAAGAACTCATCTTGATAGTTTTGCTTAGTCTTTTGATGTCTTATGTGTTAATTGTACATGTAGATGCAGAATCTTAGTGTAGATAAGAATATGTTTCTCATGTCATATTGCTGGGGTCATAATCTGAGGCTGCGTTTCTGTGTCTTTAGCTGCTTGTTTTTGCAAAATAGGAATGAAATTCATTCTGTCTCTCATAGGTTGTTATAAAGATTAATATAAAAATTCACATGCAAAACTGTCAGTGATTAATATATATTATTTCTATTACTTAAAGACAGTTTTGGGACAAAGACATTCTACTACCTAATTATCCCAAGTATTCTTTCCACAAATTAAATCATTCACTAAAAATGCAACACTATGTTTTTAATATTAAGAAGGTTCTAGGTAATTCAGTAAAGGTTGTTAATCCCGCTGAGCTGCAAGCTGAATCGCTGCCTTGGTCACTGTGATAGGAAGGGTAGATGCTGACCTTTGGAACTGGATGTGGTGGGTGGTGTCACTTCAGCACCCTGTGACACCTGCCGATTGTGTGTCCCACGCTATCACAGCACAGTAAAACTCACGACCCCATTTCTTTTAGATTTATTGAGTCTGCACCTTGCAAACATCTCTGCCTACTACACTTACCTCCTGCTGCTGCTCAAGAGCACCCTCCATGGAATCCTTCTCACTTCCTGTCTATGCAGAAGGTCAGCTGTCTGTGGGGCCAGGAAGAGCACCTGAGACATGGAGACATATGTAAGCCCATGGTGTCTCCGCTGTTTCCTGTCCTGAGCAGCATCTGCTGAAGGCCTGCTGGGCTTGCTGAGTGCAGGCTCCTGAAAGCCATGTGTACATAATTCTGTCAATATGAACTAAGGGTTTCCCAATCAGCAAGAAAACTGCACAACTTTGTGCTGGCACAACATGGCACAGCCCAAGGTGCCTGAGCCCTGTCCCTTCCACAGTCTCCACAGCCCCTCTAGCCAGCTCAGGTCCTGACAGCCTCAGTGTCCACTTCTGGTCAGGACCTCTGTGATCATGGAGCAGGTAGCTCCTGGAAGTCACCACTCTACCCACTCTGACATGGCCTTCTTTGTTACTGAATTGTGCTTTGATAGTTATAATAATAATAAATATTTTAAATTCAAATTTTGTCCATGCATGTTTTCATTTAATGCAATTTAAATTCCAAGGTGAAAAACAGCACTCAAACTGAAGTGTGTCATGCTAGTTGCTAACAAGGGTGCTATGCTACATTTCTATTTCTGTCTTGGGAATTGGTAATGCCACTTTCCTCAGCCACTGTCTCCAAACGAAGACACAATCAATGGAAAATTGCATGGCACTGTTCTTCTGAAGGTCAGCAGATTTAGCTAAATAGCTTCATTTAGACTGATATATTCCATGACAAAAGACAGGTGCAATGTGCCATGCAGCATCAGGTCTGTCCAGCATTCACAGCATTGTATACCCTGAACCTCAAATGTCCCCTGGAGACAGGCACCAGCCCCAGAGAGGTAGTGACCATATAGACTCTGGTCCCAGAGGGCATGTATTTAAACCCTAACTTCAAAATTTAGTATCTATTACAACTGCAAGTGTGTTTAGGTGTGTTAAGATAGATGACCATATTACAAAGTTTTTGTTGGATCACTGAACACAACTGTTTGCAGTCTCACTATTTGAATGTCCACTTTGTATGCTTTAATCCTATAACTTGAACAACTATTTCTAAGATGACAATATGTAATCTATTAACTAGTGATTTCTTACTGCTTTTTAAAAAATTCTGTGTTACTTGTACCTTTATACTGTTTTGGGTTTTTTTTCCTTTAAATGAAAAAAAATTTAGCAGTTATGTGACCTCTGATTTTAAAATTATCTGTGTCAAAATTTCCTCCTATAAAACAAAGTTAAGCCCTGTCTCCTGGGATGGTGAGGATCAGGTTAATTAATCATGCTTCCCACAAGGAATCCTCAACAGCTTTGGCATGTTCTCAACTCCTCTGCAGAAAGAGTAGAGCCCATACTCACACAGCAAAATAAAAAAGATGATCTCCGTTCATAGTTCTCTGCAAAGAGGATGACTGTAATGGAATAGGAGCTTAGCTCCGACCATGCTACAGACAAGCCATGATTGTGAAGAAGCTCCCCAAAGAAAATACAATTATTGATTAAGGTTTATAGATTGGAAAAATTAAGTTACCTGCTAAGGACATTATGTCTAAGTAGTAGTCATAATTTAAGACCAAGTCTCTAAGAATACAACATATATGTATCTCCCCATCTGTGTACATACATATGTAATTCCCCTAGTGATACATGTCTTTCCTTTCTCCCTTAATGTCATTGTGTTTTCTTTCCTTCAGGAAATAAACATGCATGGTTTCCTTACTGGAAGATGCCTCCAGTAAGTCAGTGAGAAGTTTCTCCAAGAGTTATGAGTTGTCTGTGTTTTCTTCTCATGTCCACCAGGCCTCTGGTCATCACTAATTCCACCTTTGGTAAAACCGTGGCCTCCTCTTGAGTTACTGTAAATGCTCCACTTCCTGTAGATACAGGAGAGAGCCTGCCTTGCTCTTGCTGTCCACCTCAAGTGTAGCCACAGTGCCACCGCTCATTTTTAGAGAGCAGCAATGAAGTGAATGGTGACCCTCAGACAGAGTGGGACCTGCACCATGCCCTCAGGTGTGGATGGAACTCTGACGCCCAGCTCTTCCTGGGGACATTCTGCTAGGATCGGGTGCTTTTCCTGACTAGGAGCTGAGTTACACAGCCTTGATGGTCCGGGACTTCATCATAGTACAGCTGCCCCATGAGGGAAGTAACCTGGTGAGGGCTGAGGACTCAGGACCAGGTGTCACACATCACAGCTAGAGCCAGCCCTAGCTACTGAGTCATTTTCTATCTATCTGTACCATTTGTTCTTTTTTTAAAAAAGATACATAAATTTGCACATATTTATGGAAACATGTCGATTTGATACTTGCATGCATCATGTCATGCTTTAATTGGTAAGTTTATCTTTCTTCTCATTCATTTCTTTGTCAGGAAAACATTCTAAATCCTTTCTCCTATGTTTTTCTAAGCATAGCATATTTCAGTCTCTATATTTATGCCCACCTGCCTAAATTCATCCATTTTTAGATGAATGAATCCAAATTAAATACTTTCAGATTCCTATGCAAGGTAACACGTTCAGTGATTGACAGCAATCACTTGTGTAGTGTTTACTGTGCCAGGTAAGAGTTTAAGTGTGTTTTGAGTCATTTAATTCTCACAAGCATGCTCCAAGTTATATATAGTCATCTATGTTCTATAGAAGAAGAAACTGAACTGAGGAATTTCCCCAAGCTACACGGCTTCTAAGAAACAGGGCTGAGATGGAACCTAAAGTGCTCGGCTTTAGGAGCTCTGCTCTTGTGTTGTACATTAGTTGCTCCTAAAGTGAAAACATATTGCTCTTCAGGAAACTTTCCTTCCCCATTAGAGGCAGTTCTGGTGAGCAGAACAGCCTCCCGACCTGCCTGACCTGCCTGTATTTCTTCTCTTGGCCCCTTCGCTATTCTTACAATCACAGGGTTGTAGACCAACATCTTGATACTGGGGAAGCATTGACACACTGCTCTCCCGTCTACCAGGACACTTTTATGACTGAGGTCTGTGGTTCGTGTTTAGATGAAATAAACATGAGAACCTCCAGCTGCATTTCCAGGCAAAGATTTATACAATTCCACAAGAAATCACTCATGTCTCAGTCTTTACAGTCCTTACACTTCTCAACTGTAGGAATTTAAAACACCACCAAACCAAGTGCAAGTTTCCGAATTATTTAAAAAAGGGCAATTTTTTATGCAACATTTTTCAACACATTCTCTTTAATAAACTTTCTTTACTTCTTTGGATTTATCTTCTTAACAGACTTCATTTTATTTAAGTTTATTTTGTGTGTCTCTGAGTGTGTGTACAGTGTATGTGTGTGTAGGGGGCTGCAATTAATGATCAACTTCAATATTATATTATCAAAATCCTGTGCAATAGTTTATAATAATATAGTATTAATTAAATAATAATAGTAATAATTAAAAACTCTGAGTTTTAAACATCACCAAAGACACTACACCAAAGTGATACAATTCAACCCAACGGCTAGAAATTCAATATTTTTCTGAGCCATGAGAACTTATGTGACTGAAATCATGGTTTCCATAATATTCTGTTAGGTTATTTATTTGTTTGCTTCTGTGTTTTTTTAATACTAAAAGCCTGTGCTTAGAACATCAAGACTGCAAGGCGATCTGTGCTATTTCTAATGTTCTCAACTGCACGGTACAGACACTGTGTTCATGTCACTGTGACAAGCAGGTCTCAGAGACCCCATGTTAATCCTGAATAAATCCTAGTGTTCAATATGTTCAATGTTGAACACAGTCCAAGCCTCTATGGTGAATAAGTGCATGTCACAATGGGTCAGCCACACTGCTAAATATGTCAAATGTTAAAAGCACCAAATTCCACATAGTTCTGTTAAATTTAAAACCTGGTCTTTCTCTACTGTACTAATGGCTCATCCTCTCCTTCTAGGAGACCTTAGGAGTCACTGAGGCCCAGACTTTGTCACAGGCTGCCTGTAGAGACTTTAACAATTCTTTAAATCTAATGTAGATCAAGGTAAAAATCAGCAAGAGACTGCAAGAGCCCCTGACCTCCAGAATGACTGTCTTAGATCACAAGTTACCAGGAGCCTCAGACACAGAGCATACTGCCCAGACATGGGACACACTTCATCTGGACAGGGCTCTCAGCATAGGAGCCATCAGCTCAGGCAGGAAATGAAGTATATTTTCCAAAATTATGTCAAGAATGTTCATTCACTATAGTGCTACATAGAACAGCTGTAAATGGACCCAAATGCCCAATAAGAAAGGTAAATATGGAGCATAGATTCATACCTTAAAATATACATAATTTTTCTTTGGTACTGAGGTACAAACTCATGACCTTGCGCTTGCCAAGCAGGCACTTATGCTGCTGAGCTAAGCCTCCAGCCTTAAATTAACAGGTAAATTTTTTAAATTACTGGAAAATAATTGGGACATAGGCTTGAAATATAACATGCACAGAATGGACTTTCTGAAATTGTTAAATGATTTGCTGACATGTCTTAGACATTAAGTGCCTTAATTTTAATTATTGCAAATACAAACATACATACATAAATACATAAATGTATATATACATATATATACATCTCTATATAATCCCATTTCTCTTTTTTATACAAAGGGAGCATTAAACACATATTATTTTGAACTTCTTTTTTTCATTTATAAATCCCAGAGCTCTTTTAAAGGCAGTGTTATGGAAACATTTGAACACATACAAGGTATTTTCCGGGGAAACATAAAAGGCAGTATTTCATCAGTTCCCTTTAATAGATATTTGGCATATTTCTAATAATTTGCTACTGCAAAACTTTGAAAAATAATGACTTTTATATCATTTTAAACATGTGTAGTCCTGGAGATTCAGCTCAGTGGCATAAGCGCCTGCCTGGCAAATGCAAAGTTGTGAGTTCAATCCCTGATACCGGAAAAAAAATTTAATTGTATGTACTGGTGATTTTGGTGGTGATGCCACACTGATACCCACAAAGAGGCTCACTGAGCTCCTCTACAGCCCTGTACCAACACCCAAGGGGGAGCAGTCAGGAGCCAAGTTCATGCTCATCTGACAGGTGGAAAATAGCATCTCATTGTGGTTTAAATTTGCTTTTTTCCTAACATGAGTGAAGATAAACATCTCTTCAATTCTTTAAGATCTATTTATATTTCTTCAACATAGTGTTCCTTCCCTTTGCCATTTTTTTTCTATTAACAACAATAACAAGTGTTTCCTGAGTGTCTTTGATTGCTACTAAAGACATAAAATGTTCATGATCTGTAGGTGAAAATTTAGTGTGCATTTTTCTTATTACTTTAGTGCAGTTATCGAAAATGACAAGTTCTTTTATTCAAATTCAAGCCCTGTGATATTTAACACTACAAAGGTTTTGGTTGTTTGCTTGGTTGGTTACAATCAGTTTCACTTTCCATGAAACAAGTTCTTTGGGCCACCAAGCAGAAGTTCCTGTTTGAAAACAAAACAAG